GAGTGACAAATATAATCTAACTAAATAAAAAGATCGTTTTTTGTACATTAAATATATACATATATAATTTAATGTATCTTTTGCAAGTAACTCGAGATAGACTTATTTTTCTATTTGTAAATAGTTAACAATAACACTGTTCAACAAATTTAGCTTTTTCTAGACCACAAACGGGACCAAGTAATTCTTATAGACTTTTGGTCGCTGAAAACGAATTTATAAATATAATTGTTCTATCACGTCAAGTTTTTAAGAAAATTAATACTAAAGGTGTACAAAATGACATCTTTAGATATTTTTAAGCTGAAATATCTTGAAAACCTGACGTGATAGAGCAATTTCATTTACGGATTCGTTTTCAGTAACAAAAAATCTGTAAGAATTACTTGGTTCTATTCGTGGTCTAAAATCGGTATCGGATAGTGTAATTTGTAGATAGTTAATAATAATCTTTAGGCAATTTTACAGTGTCTTCGAGGGTCATGCTGACGCGATATCGGCCATTGCGTTTACACATGATTCCCGATACTTAGTGACCGCGTGTAACGAAGGCACCTGGCGTCTGTTCGATACTCTGGATGAGAAAAATGGTTCCGAAGCATTGATGGTTTGTGACGCGAGTCATGATCTAGGTGTCCAAGGATGTGACTTCAGTCCTACTCCATGCTCTTTGATGTGCAGTTCATGTAGGACAAACTATTTTAATTATTATTACCTTTAATCTTCACGCTTATATTATCTTAAAAATCTTTATTAAATAATGCAAAAATCAATGACTGTTTGCAGCAAGGGACACAGATGTAAATCAGCAAACATATTTACTAGCAACGTGCGGCAACGATTCGTTAGTTAAACTATGGCATGTAATTATTTCAAACGATCTATTACCCAATTCGGATAGCATTAAATCGAGCAACATTGGAAAGAGTTACAAGGAGAAGAAGTCTTTAACCGGACACGGTGGAAATGTAATGTGTGTCCGTTTCTCGCCCGTCCATGGAGAAGTTATAGGTAGCGTCGCGACTGATAGAACAGCTCGTATATGGAGTGTGGTAAGCAATCAAGGCAATTTTGCTCGAATATATGCATAAAATATATGAGAATTTTTTTACGAAGATCGGTTTGTTTACGCGCTTTCAGTTTTCTGGAAGTTGTTTATACGTTCTAGAGGATCATGATAGTCTTGTTACGTCTTGCGCATTTTCCGAGGACACGTCATTCTTCGCTACAGGTCTTGAACTGTTATAATTCACGTCTATTATAATACAATAGTATTTTGTATACATAGCTCAACTATCAATTGTTCTTGTATAAATTGTTTATATTGCAAATTTTGTTTCTATAAATTTTACAAATTTTAAGCTTATCTAAAAATTCATTTAGAATTTATTTATCGTCATATTTCACATAATCAGTATCATTTTACCTTTAAGTAATAATTTTTTTAGGTGCATTGGACAAAACTGTCTTGGTTTGGAAGGTGCCTCAGCAGTTGGTGTCACAAAGTAATTTGATGGATAGCTTGAGAAACAAGAAGAAGAGGGTCAGTAATTAAACAAATCGATCTTAGATTATGCGAAATGAAAGAAACATGTGTGCGCAAATTGAATATTTAATAAAATTTTGTCATTCAGGTTGCGGATTGGAAACTATACGACACTTTGAAATGGTTGAATGACATTGAATTATCCAGACTGTCCAGGAAAGTGCTTGCTTTGGGACTGACAGGACGACATTTGCTATCCGTATCAGAAAATGAACTAATATCTCGGTTGGAACTTGAAGATGACGAAGAGGTACAGTACATAATATTATGATGATTTTATCCAGTTTATTATATCGAACTCCTCATAAACTTTTTACAGGCTGTGGAAATATTAAAGAAGCAATTATATTGGCTGAAGCGTGAAGATTGCAATGTTATGGAGAATATAGACGAGTCTGAGATTCCTCATGAATTTTTGTGTCCTATAACGCACGAGATAATGAAAGAACCTGTGCAGTGCTCAGGTAAAAATATCACACAAAAATCGCTTCTATATAAAAAAAATATTTCGAAAAAAAAAATCTGTCCTGATAAATTTAATTGTGCACAATTATTATTCCTAGATGGATTTACTTATGAAAGGGCAGCTATAAATGAATGGTTCCTATGTGGAAAATATACTAGTCCAATGACGAACGAGTCGTTGCACGATACTTCCTTTACTCCGAATTTCGCTCTCAGAAACGCTATCCTAACTCTACTTCACGGAGAAGGACCACAATAGTAATGGCATTTTACACATTTATGAAAAAAAAGAAAAAAACAGCACGTGTTGATAATTTATAATACACAATAAGCAATTTTATTCTACAGTATGTTAAACATTCAAGATTCAGTGGTTTTAACGCAATAAGATTCGTTCTCTTTACAAGAATCGAAAGAAATTCTAACATCGATCGGTATCTGCGGACCAATTAGACACATGTAAAAATATAAAAACCTTACAATTAATAGACTTCATAATTAAAAATAACCGCGAAAGGATACCGTGTGGAGCCATTAGGATGGAAGTTACAACTCTTGATCTTTTACTAATGCTCATTTTTACCATTGTAGTTTAATTTTAATTTTAATTTTAATCTCGGTTCAACTAATTTATCTCTTTCTCTAGTTCTAAGAATTAGAAAAAGATGAAGAATAAGTTGAACCGAGATTAAAGTTAACTTACATTGGTAGAAACTGGCATTAGAGGAGTTTGAAATTGGAATTATTGGAGATATGCTTAGAGAGAACATGTTTTAATAATAATTAAGTGGCATTGTCATAACTTTTATCGAGAAGCGGTATATGTCTAAAAACCGCCGAGCGATACATTATCGATATTGGGAAGCAATGTCTAAGAATGAATATTGTCGAAGAATTTCCGAATATTCGATGATATAGCGCGTGTACAATGCACGTAATAATCCAGATACCTGATGCAAAGCAACAAGTACAAGTTTATAAAAATTTATGGACAATCTTCGAGAATTACAGATATATAGTGGAGGCGCTGGTCTAATATCAGATATTACAGAATAGTCGAACGTACGTACATACATGTAACTAGAAACATATCGAGAATACACGGATTTTATATCGGTTCTAGGCATAAACAGAATTTACAAGTTCTCGAATTCAGTCGAACATGGCGTGGGTTTTTATCGCTCTCTTTTGCATCTCCATTCCAAAGTTTTTATAACTCAAGTAAGTCACGTTTCCTCGATCAAAGATTTTTGTGTTATCGGATGAAAAGTTTATAATTTTGTAGATACAAGGCATTCTTAATATTAATATGAATATTACAGCTAATTTCGAGTTTAAGATTGCATTTACAGGGTTAACTTTGCATCAAAGAAGGATATTTAGGATTGTTTAGTGTCGAAGAAAATGATTTCCGTAGCTTTTTGACTTTCTTTGGACACTAAATAGTCCTAAGACAATATTCTACTAGGATGCAAAGTTGCAAATATTTATTCTACAATTGTTGAAATTTTAATGAAAACAATTGAAAACTAAGTTTTCAATTTAGTATAAATATAAAAAAATTTTGTGCGTTATAAACACATTTTAGAATGAATATATAGTAGTATAGAAATATTTGTGCCTAACGACGAGGAGTTATCGTATTTCTCGAGATATTAAAAAATATCTCGATTTTCTAATCTATAGCATTATCGTGTTTTATCAATACTTATTTTCTAAATATAACTTTGTAATATATTACAGAATTACGTTTAACGTATGTAACTTGCGTGTGATAAGAATGTTACTTTCTATTTGCAAATATTAAGCTGCAATATATTAATTGTTCATATATTTTATTTATTTGTAGCACTGATATCTAACAAAGAAAAGTTTCTTTTTTAATATGTCAATTGTTATCGATAGCAAGCACAAAGTGCTTGTATGTGCGTTATTATTAATTGTCGTAAATGCTGTGGACTTTGTTATACACTTTTTAGAAATCGACGATATGAAATATAACTAGTTATAATCATTTTATAATAATACCGTATTAACTCTTATAGTAGTCTTAAGTGTTATAAACAACAATTACGAAAACTGTATATAAAATGGTAACAGATGACAAAATATACATGTGTATCGCTTGAAGGAACGTAAATTAACCGTTGATTTCTCTTTCTGAGAAATCAGTCATAGGTGATTTAAAAAAACTCAATCGTTTCTAATTAGCGTTTACGCACACAGGTTTTTACATGATTTCTACGATTTTTTAATCACTCATTACGAACACGGTTTTGTATGTCTTCAAATTGTCACTCGAATTCAAAGTCTGTATTTCTGTGATATAATTGAGAAATCGTTTCAAACTTGTGTGTCGAAAGAATGCGATTTTTAATGTATCGAGAATGACACGTTTAGAATCGCGCTATCGAGAAAAGTCCGACGCAATTGAGCTTGAGCATTTAAGCGATTTTACAATTGTAAGCAACGTTTTTCTGTATAACTATATACAAATAATAAAATTGATACTATAATAATATCAATCGAGGCAGACGATTATGTATAAACGTTCCTTAAGGTTATATATAAATCATTTCTTGGTTTTCCTTTTTATATACCTCCACTGATAATATAATATATAATTAATATTCAATCTACAAACATATTTTTTAATCAAAAGATAAATATCTATTAAATTAACGTGCAAGAAGCTTGTAATGTCATGGTATATGTCATATTTATTATTACAATTAATCAATTTAAAAAAAAAAAATTATTGTAAAAAATATATCTCTCTTTATAAAATACAATCTAACAGATGCAATCTGTTTTTAAGACTATAAAACCTTATTAATTTAAACAAAATTCATTATTATTAGAGAATAAAAAAAACTGCTTTAATTCTACATTGAATTGTATTTCTGAAAAATAAAGAACTTTTGACAATTAATTCATACTATGATTTTGATTTGAAATAAAAATAGTTTATACAGTGGATTTCGTTGAATCTAAAAGTTTATTTAATGATATATGCCGTTTTACTTATTGATATATACTGCGGAGTAAAAAGCTATCTGATTCGCAGTTGAGTCGTGCTTGGACGATATCGCTGGATGTTGATTACACCTGGCACTAAGTATATCACAGCTAAGACCATAAAATAGCCACTGTAGATGTAAAACTAAAAAAAGAAGATTGTCATGTTTTTGGAAAATATACAAATTTGCATTAATAGTATAATTCTTACCTGTTGTCTAATATTTAACATGATTGTATTGACGACAATAAATGTCAATAAGCTTTGCATCAATAATGCGAGAAATATGTTCACGCCAAATATCAAGCCGTGACTATCCTCGGATATACACTTGGCGACTTCAAAGCTATGAATAAACAAAAACAAAATACCTATATGCACCTTTTTATGCACAATTTTATTAAGAAAATATTTCAATCTTTAATAATGTTTGTAACTTGCAAAAAACAAAACTACAGAAAAAAAACTTTGATTTAATAATAAAAAATAAAAACTATTTAGATCTTTCCTAGTAAAAAATTTATCATGCATAAATACGAGGGGCACTACTTATATTTTGAGCCTTGGCAACACTGAGTGTTGTCAGGTGCCATCTGACGTTTCCACTAGAAAGTTTGACATTTTTTACCATAACCTTCTTCAGAACGTTTGTTATTTAAGCGCGATTTGTATTGTTTAGAGTCACTTGAAAATTGTGTCTCAGCGAAAAAATGGAGTTAACTCGTGAAAATTTTCGTGCAATGATTTATTACGACTTTCGACGTGGATTATCAAGATAGGAGTGCATCGATCAACTTACTTCCACTTTTGGCGATAAAGCCCCATCCTTTGCCACTGTGAAACGCTGGTATAACGAATTTAATTGTGGTCGCCGTTCGCTCACCGACGAAAGTCGTGAAAGTCGTCCAAAATCAGTTGTTGTGTCAGAAAACATTGATGCTGTGCAAAAACTAATAATGCAAGATCGTCATGTGACATACTGTGAGATTGAGACAACCTTAGGCATTAGTTCCACCAGCATATATAAAATATTGCATGATTATTTAGCCGTGAAAAAGGTTTGTTCGTTGGATCCCACATAATCTCACAAAAATCTCAAAAAGATGCTCGTGTCGATTGGTGCAAACAAGTGGTTCGAACGCATGCAAAAGTGTATAGATCATAAAGGAGAATATTTTGAAAAACAATAAAGTCATTTTCAATGACAAATTACTTTTTTTATTATTAGGCTCAAAATATAAATAGTGTCCCTCGTATGTATAATTACACAGGTCTACAAAAAAGGGGGTCTTGGATGTTGTCGGGAAGCTGTGGGTCATTTCCGAAGTAATTTTCTGCGTAG